CTGGGACTACAGGAGCCTGCTACAACACCTGGCTAAAATGATCCTCAGCCTCCCAGAGTGCTAGGATTACAGGCAAGAGCCACCAAGCCCATCTTCAGAGTTTAAAAAGAAAAATATTCATAGCCAGATGCCTGCTTTGTGGCAGGAATCTATAGTCTCAGCTACTTGGGAGGCTGAGGCAAGAGGATCACTTGAGCCCAAGTTTGAGATTACTGTGAGCTATGTCACAGCACTCTACCAAGGGACAAAGTGAGACTCTGTCTCAAAAAAACCCCCAAAGATATATTCGTTTTTCACATCTATTTACTGAACACACATTATGTTATCACAAATAAGGATTTGGAGTCCCCATAACAGAACAGTTACTGAAACCTACCCCCTGCCCTTGAACTGCTTACATTCTTGTGGGGGAAATGGGTAATTACAATATAGAGAGGTCTGTACTCTTAATAATGATAAGCTCTGAAGCTCGTGCAGAGCTTGGGGGAGCAGAGGAGACATCTGACCAGGCCGAGGGCTCAGTATATGCTACAAAGAGAAGATGGAAGATGACGTCTGAACGGGAGCCTAAACTGTGTGACCCTGGGCAACTTAACTAACTTCTCTGATCTTCAGTGTCTGTGTCTGTAAAATAGTTGTTGGTAGTCCTCCACAGGGTTGGGGTAGACTGCATGAGAGTTCCGTGTTTGGAAGTTGGTTATCATGTGATGATGACAAGGAGGAGGAAGGGGAGGAAAAATCTGTAAGGAGGGAGGGAGAAGACGAGAGGGAGATGGGGAGAAGGGGAAAGGCGGAGGACTCCCATACCCCCTCACCCTGCCTCATCCAGGACAGACTTACTGACAATTTGAGGGGAGGATTGAAGCTGACCTTGGTAGGCTTTGATCTGGAAATTCAGAATGCAAATCAACATCTGTGGGATGCTCTCATATTCTTTGAAATCTAAGAGAGGAGGAGGAGGTGTCCCGGCCCCCATGTAGCAGGATCACAAGCACACTGATACATTCATCCCAGGGAGAGAAACTTCAAACTCACCTATATTTATAATATTTTCTCCCTTCCCTTCCTCTCTCCTTTTCTTCCTTCTCCCCTTCCCTCCTTCCCGCCCACCCTCCCTCTCATTCCCTCTTCCCCCCTCTTTGCTTTCTTCTTTTTTTTTTCTTTAATCAGGTCATTCTCCAAGAAGAGAAGGCACAGGTAAGACTCTTGCTGCCTCTGGCCACCTGTTCAGCTTCCTGCCCTCCCTGCTGGCTTTGGGCAGCTTCTAGATCCACTCTCAGTCTCCATCTCTGTGCTCTTGACCATGCCCCTTCCAAATTCCTGGGCTCAGTTTCCTCCAAAATGAAGGCCTGGGCTGATTACCCTGAGCATTCCAAGCCAGCCAGATTTTGCCTTCCAACAGGCGGGATGATTGCTCCAGAACTAGCCCCTGCTAATGCCCTCCCACCCCTAGAATATGTTGTTCCCCCCACCAGACTCTGTTTGCTTTACCACGGGTTAGAATCTTGTCGGGGCATGTAGGTGAACATCAGCCCCATCCCCCATTAAAACCTTCCCCAAACTGGCCAAGGAAGAGAAGCCAAGTGCTGGTATACTGGAAACATTGTGTGAGCACAAATCGAACCATGACCTAGGGGTGCTCACTCTACACGGGATCCTGAGCAAGCCCCTTCCACATGTGCATGTGTTTAGTTCCCTTTAATCCATACCACAACCTTATGTACTGGATATGTTTATTGTTCCCATCTTACAGATGCGGAAACTGAGACTAAGATAGGAGCTGTAACAGGAATGTCCACAGAGCCAGAAGGTAGCAAAGCCAAAATTCTAACCTAAATCTATCAGGCGGAGGATCAGGACAGGTGACAGTGGCTTCTTAACTAACACCAGCCGTATCTAGAGCAGTCTGCAAAATGCAAAACCCTTTCATTATTTATTCAACAAGTAGACTTTGGTTGCCAAGGTCACCGTCCATTCAGCTCCAGAGCCTGAGTAGTGGCCCCATGTTGTGGTTGAGGTAGCTGAGTTTTAGCAAGGACAGGTAATTTACCTGATGTCATTTGCCAACTAAGAAGCAGAGTTACTTGAAACTTTCAGTGAGGACCCAAGCTGAGTCGCAACATGGGCGTGGTCCCTGTGGCTAACTTCAAGATGTGATTCAGTTGGATGAAATAAGTTTTCCCCTTCCCAAAACCTAGGCTGGTAATGAGTTCTTGGTGGCCCACTGAAACCCATTATCAAATAGCGTTCACCTTCCCTGACTGCTGTTCCATCACAACGGAACTCTGAGTCATCCTTATCTATGCTATTCAGACCCCAGAACTCTGACTCAAAAAAAAAAAAAAATTTAAACCCAGATACTTGAATATTCATGGGCAAAACATTTCAGAGTCTACCAAGCTTCATAGGGGTTCACATATCTTTCTGGATATCCCATTCTCTTCTCTTTAACAGAGTCAAGAGCATGGAAACCCATGGTCTGGGGTTACATCCCAGCTCATTTCTGTGATCATAGGCAAGTTTCTTAATCCCTCTCCAGTTCAATTTCCACATCTATAAAATGGGCACTTATTAAAATGTGCCTCCACCCATAGGCTGTGGGGAGGACCAAATGAGATTGTTGACATAAAGTATTCAGCTGGATGCCTCGCCTATCACAAAGCCTCCCAAAAAATGGCAGACATCATTATTATCTTTATTACCACTGTTATTATTAATCCACCCATGCTGAACTTGACATTTCCTGCGTCCCATGCTCAGCATATGTGAATGAGTTGCTGTTTCTAGCCAAACCTGCTGCATGAAAACGTTGGCAGCAACTTTTCTGGTCTGGTGCAGTGAGAGGTGCCCTTTCTGAAACTGCCTGGATAGAACACTGTGTGTTAAGCATTTTAACTCCTTGTTTATTTTCATCTTTAACTGGAATGTTGCATCTTTCAATTAATTGGCCATTTCTTGTTTAGCTCCTCTAGCCCAAAAAGTAAAAGAAGGGAAGAGAAGAGGCACAAAAAACAGTAAGTAGATGCCGCTCAGAGCATACTGCTCTTCAGTTTGGGGGTTGGGGACATAGCTGTCATGTGAGAATTGCCAAATAAATAGGCAAAGGGGGAGAGAGAAAAAGAGGGAAAGGAAAGGGAGAGAGAGAGAGAACGGGGTATGTACTTGTAATTGTGGGTCTAGGTATGCATGAGTGAAGGAGGTTGTGTGTATGCAATGTGTCTGTGTGTGCATGGAAATGTACAGTGTGCATGTGTGTGCCTGGCGTGCACCTTGTGTGTATGTACATGGTCATATATTTACATGCAGTGTCATGTGTGTAGTATGTACATCGTTTGGAAAAGTCTGTACATTTTTACACCATAGAATCATTTGTGTACACACTGGGTACACAAATGTATACAACGTGTGCAAACATATACAGATGTATATGCAGTATATATTTGCGTTCACATGAATGCATTCGTGTGCCTGGGCTTGTGTGAGCATGCACGTGGACAGTATGGGCAGGAACACTGCATGCCAACGTGTGCAAATTCTAAGCTCAGGTCTGTACACTGGTTCCGTGTTTGTGGGCATTATGTGTACACAGGCTGTGTAGTGGTTTTTGCCTGTGCACACGTGTGCTGTGTGTGCATGGTGGTCCTGGTCACGTGCTTGCACATGTGTGAACCTACGCGTGCGTCTGTGTCCTGGCTGTTGAATTTCCAGGGTGGAGACGTTTGTGAAGTTCCTGTCCTCAGACTTGGGGCCCCAGCTGTTTCCCAGTTTATAGCGGTAGTAGAAATCCAAATCAGCCGGTGCTGCCCGCGGAGTTCAGTTCTCAGCCAAATTAAAAGTAAATTCAGTTACAACCCACCTACTTTATACCCTGGAAATGTTAGTGTTTTCCAATCAAATAATATTTTATCTCCCGCCAAGAAGCTTCTAAAGAAAGGATCAAAGACAATACAATAAAAGGTAGTTGGCTGCCGGGAAAAGGAAAGGAGGGCAGGGGCACAGGGGAGGGGGGCACCCAGCTTTGCTGTCCCAAAGGGGCTCTTTGCCCAAGGTCAGCACGAAGGAGGGCATTTCAGCCACCAACACAGGGGCCCCTGGAACATGCTCTAGAATAAAGCAGTAAAGTCTTGGATTTGCCCAGCGAAGAACTTCCTTGTCATCAAACCTGTTTGGTTCAAGTCAAAAGATAATTATTGGCCCTGCGTATTGAATGTACTTTCGTGCTAAGCACAGACAGAGCTCATGTTCTTAGAGAGCTCATATCACTTGTTCAGTGGAGCCCTGGGACAGGCAGCCACAGGGTCAGGGGCTGGGCCCGGACCTCAAAAGCTCAGGAAAGACCATCACTGAGACAAGGACTTCCTGCCAAAGGGCAGCAAAATGGCCACCCTCTCCAGGGCCACTTTGTGAGCCAAGAAGAGAATGAGCCCCAGAAATTGCTGCCAGGGCATCAGAATCTCGTGCAAGCCAAAAGACAAGAGGCAGGAGAGAGAAAAGAGGAACAAAGCATCCTGAAGACGGATGATGGCTATTCTGGCCGAGTCCCGTGGTCAGAACTGCCTCCGAGCAAGTGACCACTGGCGTTCGTGAGGCCTTAATATGTGACTGGCCCTGTGTGGGCCCAAGGAAAGAGATGAGCCAGACATTGTCCTGGCCTGAAGCAGCTCACAGAGCAGAGAGGCACAGGAGCCAGGCACAGGGCAGGTCCCAGCTCTGCAGATGGCAGCCTGGGCACTGGGCAAACGCTGGTGCTGGGCACACGGCCTGGTGGGGAGGACAGCTTCCTGCAGGAGGGGATGTCTCAGCTGAGGGTGAGGATGGGAGCTGAGCATTCTAGAGTGTAGGCTAGGCAAGGTAGGCAAGTGGTTTCAACTCTCTGTGCCTCAGTTTCTTCATCTGTAAGATGAGAATAATAAGAGAACCTACTTCAGAAGTTGTGAAGAACAGATGAATTTCTTTAAGGAAAATGCTTAGAATACAGTGCCCAGCGGAAAGTCTGTGTTAGATCCAGGTCACCTGTCATCATCCTCACACCACCATCGTCATCACGAGGACATCATGAGCTGGGAAATGTGTGAGCCAGAACACAAGCAGCTCAGAGTTACTGGAGCCTGCCAGGCTGGGGCAGAAGATTTCAAGCAGGGCAGCGAGACAGCAAGGCAGGGACTTGCTCCTGAAGGTGCTGGGGTTCAAGGTCAGAGTTTATAGTTGACACAAAGGCCATTAAGAAACTTTCAGTAGGGAAGGGATATTGTGTTACCTCCTGATAGAGTCATCTCTAACTCCCACTGGCTTTCTGGCTTGGCCCAAACCATTAACATTCTTTATACAACCTCAATCCCACTGCTTCTGCTTTGCTATTATTACTTAGAGATCACTGAAATAACCTATAGTAATACTGTTATTAATGGTGGCAGTACTAATTGTTAATTGTTGTTCTGTTTGATAATTTTTTGTTGTTAATGAGGTTTATTTTGACTCCATGCTAAAAATCTGGACTTAATTTTCTGGGTCTGAGGTTACAGATTGGCAGCCTGAAGGTCTAATTTACACTCCAACTGGGTTTTGTTTGTCCCAAAAGGTGACTTTTTAAAGAACAAAAAATGAGCTTCCATTTAAAATAGGGGTATTTTACATTTAAAAAAATCTGTATTTCCATGTTCACTTGGAAAATTAAGAGATCCGGCATCATGGTAACATTCTTCAGGCAAAGCAGCTCCTTCTGTTTAATCTTGGGCCTTCTTGGGGTTGTTCTAGTGCCTGGCTGATTGACATCTTTATAGCCTCTAACTGCTCCTGAAGCTCTGTGAAACAAGGCGTTAGGATAGGGAGAGGAGTCATGGGGAGGAGATTTTCTGCAGAGTGTGGTCTGCATTGGTCCTTCTTCCAGCAAGGTATGGCAGAGGAGGGCCCTGAGTTATCCGTGTACCCCTTTCTGCTCACCTGTGTTCAGTACAGCTGTTTAGAGACCCCCAGATACCCAAGAAGGGAACTGCGGTAACTCAGGGGTCAAAAGAGATGTCTGACTTTGGGAGGGATGGTGACTTGGGTTCAAGAGAAACATGGGTATCACGAGATCAACTCTCTCTCTGTCTCTCTCTCTTTTTCTTTCTCTCTCTGCTCTGACTCATTCCTTCTCATCCCCCCAAGATCTCGAAGCCGGCCCCGAAAGTCTCACCGCCACCGCCACCACCGTTGCCCCTCCCGGTCCCAGAGCTCAGAGTCCCGCTCCTCAAGCTGTGAGAGCAGGTAACTGGTCACCCCAGGGAGCCTCTTCACCCCAGTCAGTGCCCAGAGCCCAGTCTGAGCTGCTCTTACACAGCTGTCATCAGCTTTGCCTTAGTTGTCGCCGTCACTGTCGGGGCCACTCTTCCAGCATAGGGCTGGACTCCTGTGTTCCACCTGTTACCACTTCCCTGTAGGGCAAGGGCTGGAGGCAAAAGAGGCTTGCAGCTGCCACTTTCAGGAACAACAACAGTGCTAGCGAACACGTATTCTTTCTGAGTGCTTGTGGCACCACACTTTGTATGTCCCCTCATAGGATCCCCTCAACAACCCCGTGAAGTAAGTACTATTGTTATTCTCATTTTAAAGATGAGGAAACTGAGGCACATGGTGGTTAAGGAACTTAGCAATCAAGTGACAGAGCTAGGAATGAAACCAGAGAGTTTGGCTCAGTCCTTTGCACTGTCACTAAGGCACCACTCCACGCACAGACAAGCTAAGCAACCCATGAAAGGCCACACAGCACAAAATGCCAAATGTGTTCTAAGTCCCTTCCAAGTCAGTTTTCTCCTAACCTGCACCCTTGTTATGCTAATGAGGGGGAGGAGAAGGAGGAGGAGGGGAAATGAACAAAAATAAGAAACTGGAGCTCCACTAATGTTGGTAGTCAGCATCGTGGATGTCCAGTAGTGCTGAGGCTCCTTGACAGCACCAGGCAGCTCTCAGATGTTAGGGGTTACTCTCCTCCTTCCAACTGCTTCTCATGCTTGACTATATGTTCACATCACCTGAGGCGATTTAAAAATATTATTGTCTGGGCTTCGCTTCATCCCAAGATAAAGCAGAATGTCTCTAGGAAGGGTGAGTGGTGGAGAAAAGGGAGAGGAGGAATGTTGACCCAAATCCTGCTATACTAAGATTGCAGCTATGATCTCTCCCTTAATCATCCAAATAGCCCCATGTGCTAGCCCAGTGCTTCTCCACTTCAGCTGCACTCTACCCGGGAAGATTAGAAATATACCAATGAGGCCAAGCGCAGTGGCTCACACCTGTAATCCTAGCACTCTGGAAGGCCAAGGCAGGTGACTTGCTTGAGCTCAGGAGTTCGCAACCAGCCTGAGCCAGAGTGAGACCCCCATCTCTAAAAATAGCCAGGTGTTGTGGCAGCCACTTGTAGTCCCAGCTACTTGGGAGGCTGAGGCAAGAGGATTGCTTAAGCCCAAGAGTTTGAGGTTGCTGTGAACTATAATGCCACAGCACTCTACCAAGGCTGATGAAGTGAAACTCTTGTCTCAAAAAGTTGTTTTAATTAAAATAAATAAAAATAAAAAGATACCAATGCTTGGATCCAACCCAGGGGTCCTCAAATTTTTTAAGCAGGGGCCAGTTCACTGGCCCTCAGACCATTGGAGGGCCGGACTGCGGGCCCAGAATGAGTCAGCTGCTAAGCAGGACAGGCAGTGGTGGCAAAAACACCTGGCAGGCCGGATAAATGTCCTCAGCAGGCCACATGTGGCCCTCAGGCCATAGTTTGAGGACCCCTGCTCTAGACAGTCTGATCTAATTCGAATGCATTGGGTCCAAAGCAGTGAGGTTGTTAAATCTCCCCAGGTGATAGATGAGTGAGGCTAAATGTAGGAAGCATTTGACATCCATGGTCCTTAGTGAGGCTTGGCGTTCCTGCTGGACATCAATTTCAGTCCCACCAGCAGCACGTGAGTGTCTCTTTGTCTCTGCATCAGTGCCAGCATCTCTTGTTTTTTGCCTTTTTAATAACGGCCATTCTGACGGGGGGAAGGTGGTATCTCATTGTGGTTTAATTTGCATTTCCCCGATAACTAGTGGTACATTGCTGGTGGAACTGCAAATTAGTACAACCTCCATGGAAAACAGTATGGAGATTCCACAAAGCTATAAATGTAGACCTACCATCTGATCCGGAAATCCCACTACTACACGTTTACCCAAAGGAAAAGAAATCATTTCATCAAAAAGACACCTGCACTTAAATGTTTATTGAAGCACAATTCACAGTTGCAAAGATGCGGAATCAACCTAAATGCCCATCAATTCATGAGTGGACACACACACCATAGAGTATTACTCAGCCATAAAAAGTAATGAAATGATGTCTATTGCAGCAATTTTGGGTGGAAATGGAGACTACTATCCTAAGTGAAGTCACTCAGGAATGGAAAAACAAACATTGCGTGTACTTTCTAATAATTGGGAGGTAGACGGGGGCACACACAGGCACAAAAAGATATAAAAGATATTGGAATCCAACAAGTGGGAAGGTTGGGAGAGAAGTGTGGGGTACAATGAACACTATTCTGGTGACAGGCACATTGAAGCCCCAATTTAACCATTATACAAAGTACCCATGTAACAGAAACATTTGAACCCCTCTAATGTTTTGAAATAAAGAAATTTTAAAAAACTTTTTTTACAGAATATCACCACCTGACAAGGCCACTCTGTGACAAGACCACTCCATACTTAGTGTGAGCCAGGACAACAATTACGTGTCAAAACCACAACCTCAGTCTAGTCCTCCCTCTTTCTAGATAACATTGGTGAAGACATTCGATCAAATTGCCCTTGATTTCTGACAGCACCCAATCCAGAACAAAGCCCCAGTTCTGTAAACCTGTGGTCCTCAAGCCCCAGGCTGTGGACTGATACCAGCCTATGACCTGGTAGGAGCCAGACTGCACAGCAGGAGGTGAGCAGCAGGCCAGGGAGCGAAGCTGCTTCTGTATCTACAGCTGCTCCTGATCACTCCCATCACCGCCTGAGCTCTGCCTCCTGTCAGAGCACATCAGATTCC